TGTTGAAGGTGAAATTAATAATAGCAATCTCTGTTCTAATCACACAATGTAAAAAGACCAGAATCAAAAGCTGATTCTTAAATATAATTATTACTGCTCCCTATTACTCTGAAAATTGTCTAATCAGTTTACAAATGTATTATATTAATATTGTTTTTCTTGATTTTAATGCTCTGATATTTTTTTCAACTATGATAAAAGCTCCAAAACATCATCATAAGATTAAGTAACGTTTTCATTAACAGTTCTTTTGGCAGCCATCATTTCCACATGACGTTCAGTTGCTGTATGCTTAACGTTTTCTTCCTCATTTAATAATGTAATTTTACTGAAATCAAAGTGTTTAAAAATAGATGGCCAAACTGATTGTTTAATATAGTTCTAACCAAATATTTTACTTATTCATAACCGTTCGACTATCTTTGACCTAGCAGAGTAATAAATTGTAGCCCACGTTTTCTATTTTTTTTAACATGTGGTCCCAAACCCTTTATGGTTTAAGGCTGTAACTGTTGATTCATTATGCTGTCAGCCACCGCCTGCTAGTGTTGTGCTTTGTTCAAGATGGAAAGAGGTTTTAGTGGTAGATGCGTACTATCTTTAGATGGTTAGGATTTAGTTCCACTGGGAACAAATATATCAATGATGAGTCCCTAAGCAAACCATTAGAAAAAAATAACCACCACTGCCAGAGATCTGTACATCTGTCATGACGACGGTTTTGATGGTCCTGAATGAAAACAACATTCTTTTTCTTTGCGTTCTTTCAGAAATACATTGCTAGGGCTCCAGACAATATAAACGCAACTAGACTGGTTTCCTTTGCAGGAGAATGGAAGCTAAGAACTAAGAATAGAAGGGAAAGTAGTAGACAAAACTTCTAGGCAAGATAGGTTTTCTAATGTATTCAGTAAACAGTCACATAATAGGTATAAATGGCATTATAATTATTCACATTTATATGAAACACTAAGATGTACATTAACATGAATTATTCAATTCTAGTGCAGCCTGCTATACTAGTTCGTGAAATGCAAACTCAAGACTAGCTTGTTCAAAACATCAGAACAATTGCACCTATTTTCACTAACACATAATTATAATGTAATTGAGCAGCTTTGATCCTATGTGATTTAATGGCTGTTATTTTTGCTATTGTCCAACAAAATGTGTGATTCATATCACATTAAATATTTAATGTTTGGATTATAGTCATTTCAGACATTTACACTTATTAAATGCCAAATAAATGCTATTAATGGCTCATCAGAACATCCTTCTTCAATTATTTATATTTGTCTTACATTTCTAATGTACATATGCACACTAGATAACATTATGAAGTCTGGTAATTGGATGTTATTGGTTAGTTAGAGAATGAAAGTACTGATTGCAAAACTGTATGTTTTACTTCATTTTGTGTAGCTAAAATAAGACAATCTACTGTACCTGTGACCTGGACCCTCTTTCTACTCCCATACTCAGACTTCACTCCTCAGATCTTTCTCCATTTGTTACTAACTTCAATAATGAATCTCTGAAATCTGATCTTGTTCCTGCTGGCTTAAGGTCTACTGATTTCACACCTGTGTTAAAAAAACCTGACCAAGACACCAAAGTACTTAAAAACTACCATTCTGTTTCCAATTTGCCTTTTCTTGCAGAATGTCTGGAACAGGTGGTGGCAGCTCAATTACAATCTCATCTTATACCTGAGGAGCTCTTCAAACAAATTTCAGTCAGTGATAGACAAAGACATAGTACCAAAACAGTCCTTGGTCAGTTAAATTGTTTTTCCTCCTGGATGCAGCTTTTCATACTGTCAGTCTCTGCATCTTACTGGACCACATGGAAAATTATCTAACAATTAGTGGTTCTTCCACTTATTAGTTTGACTTCTTAAGACTACCGGGAGCCAATTCATGAATCTTTGTTGTTTTCAGTCAGATACTGTTCCACTCATTCAAGGTGTTCCACATGTGTCTGTGCTGGGACCTTTACTTTTAATTATATCACATGTTGCCTCTTGATGACATCATTTGCCATAAGACACAAGAGACTTGTGTTTTAGTGAAATGCTTATATTCATATTCAGATATATTGCAGGCCAAATCAGATACTACAGTTTTAGCTTTTGATTCATTTTTTATTATATCAATGCTTTATTTACTGATATATATTCTAAGATGCTTAATAGGCTTTAGTATGTCCAGAATTTTACTCTGGCAAATTAGAGTAAGAATGCCTTGTTTTCCAGATATTACTTACACAATGGGTGACAAAGCCTTTTTGTGTTCACACACAATCGGTGAAACCCATGAACAAAAACCCAAATTCTTTAGAAATACTCTGTGATTGTTGATATTTCCACACTTCATTTAGAAGTGATTGTTCACTAATATATATTTTTTTCTAATGTATATTGGGTAACTTATTTTACGATAGTTTCACCAATCGTTTTTCCACTTTTGTTTTTTTCTGTTGTGTACAGTATGACTTTTGTGCTATTATAGAGCATTTTGAGTTTCTTGAAAAACATTCATGAATAAAATTGTATTAATATTATTTAAAAAAAACATTTTTATGAGGTAAAAATCACTCAAAGCTGATGTGTTTTGAAATGGGATTTTCAGTTTATTGTTTCACGTTCATCTTGTCTGCGTTTGAGTTAGACCATGTATTGTGATATTATTCAATATATCTGTGAAAATATTCATAAAACAGCATGGCTTAAGATATTAGTGTTCCAATAAATACGAATTACTTTCAGTTTGTTTGCCCGGATATATCACTTCTCATAATGTGGTATTTAACACCTTATTTGCTATAAGTAACACTATCTACTAAGAAAAGCTGCTTTCTTTTCAACTGACAATATACCAAACAATGGAGTTACAATACAATTGGATCCTGAAAACCATCTACTATATGTTGAAGCTTTGTAACTTGAAGCTGATTTTCCCACAGGAAATTTGTCCCATAGAATCATTAAAAATGGAGGACTTGATACTTTATTTTTGCCACAATACATGATTAATATATAATAGATAGATGTTAAAGCTTTTAAAAAACACAAACGTCCTCTATAAGAGCAATGGCATCTTCACCTAAGATCTGGATGGGATGTAAACTGGTCTCTGTCTTCAACATCATTAATCAGCATCAAACTTAATTAAAAAGCTCAGCATTTCTTTAGATCATCATAAATACTTCTAGCCTTTTCCTAAGTTATGCCTAAACTCATTGGAGCGTGTTTAAGACATAATTAAGATCCTCCAGCATTTAAGAAACTTTTATCCTTTTCTTAACCCAAACGTAGGTTATATGTGCTGCGTAGTTATCACAATTGACTGCCCTAAACGCTTCAAAACTTTAAGATGTTCCTGAATTTTTAGCCTGTATTTCATGATAATTATTTTGATTTTTTGTTTCCATAGTTATTCCATACTACATTACATTACATTCTACATTTTGTTGACGACAGATCCCTTGCATTAGATTTACTCTTACTTGCACATGTGAAGAATCAATACTTTTGGAGTAAAGTCTTTACAAAGATTTACCCAATACAAAATGGTATCAGAAGAGCAACTAAGTGTCTGGAGTCAGGGAACTGGGCAGAATGATGTCATGCATATGACTGTTTGAACTCATTGGATGATTTAAAGCTGACATTGGAAAATAATTTTGAAATGCCTAACTGCTGTATATATCATAATTGAAATATCATAAAGTTGAGAACGTGCATGTACTCCTTTTCAGTTATAATTTCAATCATTTTAATAATGAAAGTTAATGAACTGTAAATATAATGTAAATAAAATTTAATTAAATAGTTTAATTAATACTTTTGCCATTTAATATTTCCAGTGTATAACCAAAGTATTGTTGCAGGATTTTTGTTTTACCAGATGGCTTGTAATACATTCAACAAGTCCAAGAGTTGTGGATTACCCTTATTTTCTGACTCTGGGCAATCACATATGGCCTTAATTGGATTCTTGTTAGGAGTGTATGGTGGTTGTCCAAGAATTTTTGGCATACTCTCTTCCACCTTTGTTAGTAAATAACTTTAAAATATTTTATCAATGTGTTTTGGATGGTTATTTTGCTGTTAAGATTAAATTAATTATATCCAAATTAACTCAAATATGTGCACCCCACTGTATATCTACATGCTTTAATAGCTCTGACCTTGTTGGGAATAACTTGGATTTGATTTCCTATATAAAGTGCAGTTTCACTCCTAAATTGTAATTAGTGAGGGGAACCTAAGAATGACTCACACTAGAAATGCCAGGTCTGATTGGGCATCACATCAACATTTTATTATAGTTTAATGATGAAAATACATTTTAGCAAAAGGCTAGTAAGTGCAGTGTGGGGTATTCAAAGGGAACTTTGCTGCTTATCATGCTATGTAGGGAGATAAAGTGTTCACAGGAAAATAATAAACATTGCATTACTACATTAACATAATCAAATTTTATATGTTCTTTTCTAAATGATTAATTGTTAGAGATGCAGATGGCTGCCTATTTCTAAACAGTGACTAGAGGCTTGTTTTTTCATGATTTGTTTAGCAGTGAAGGCTTTGCTGCCAGATAAATGTGTCTCAGATACAGAAACAATCAGAAGATATTTTAATCTACCATAAATAGCTGAGTAATAAAAGTTTCACAGGCCTTCAGAAAATTAGGTTCTGATTTTCTACACCAAGTCAGCAAATTGTCTTGAAATGTTGCTGTTTTTTAATCAATGAATTTTTTCATCATATTCATGCCTGGTCAGAATTCTCATTTTGGGGGTATAAGAAAGGGACATACCCTAGTAATGTAAATTTGGCTTTACCTAGTCAAAAACCATTGCTAATGGCCAGAAAAAGACATTCCCTACTGAATGACAAAGAGGTCTTTGATTTAAAGTTCAATGCGGAATTGGTACAGTATGCAAAGTGATACAAATTCAGGTTTCTAAATACATATACATTTCTTTTACAGAAACTGCCTTGTTTTGGCCCATATCTTGAGGAGAGAAAGATGATGTTAGCTGAACAGAAGCTGAAGATGAAAATGGCTAGTGAAAGTACTGCTCAACAATCCAATCCAAAGCAACCATATACACCCAAAAAGCCTATTCCTGCTGTCAGGGTAAAAATAACCTTTATGCACACTAGCCAGCAGCCATATCACCCAGCAATTCACAACTGGTAATCCACTGAGGTGTGAGCCTGGCCAGTACCTGGATGGAAGACCTCCTGGGAAAACCTAAGCTTGCTGCTGGAAAAGGGGCCAGTAGGGAGTGCTCATCCTGCAGTCGGTGTGGGTCCTAATGCCCCAGTATACTAATGGGAATACATTACTGTAAAAAGGCACCGAAAAGGATGAGATGTAAAACCGAGGTCATTACTCTGCTCTCCTCCCCACTGATAGCTGATGTGTGGTGAGTGTACTGGTGCACTATGGCTGCCGTCGCATCATCCAGGTTGATGCTGCACATTGGTGGTGGTGGAGGGGAGTCCCCATTACCTGTAAAGTGCTTTGAGTGGAGTGTCCAGAAATGTGCTATATAATTGTAAGGAATTATTGTTAATTATTACTACAAATGAAATTTTATACAGAATAGTCTCAAAATATGTTATACAATAAGCTTCTTTATTATGTATCATACTGTGTGAATGAACTGTACGCTCAGGTCCAAGTAGTCCACAGTAGTACAATATCAATATCAATATCAAGCATTGCCCTTTTAGACAACCTGAACACAATATGGAGCAACTTGATTTAATTAGAATTTTTGTGTATAGTAGTCTTATCTACCTATGTGCCTGTTTCCAAGTCTTTTTTCCCCAAACATAAGCATACTAAAACATCTTTACTGGTGTATTTAGGATGTGATTGCAAGAGCACTGAAACACATTGGGACTTTTGGAGAACTGAACATCAAGGAGCAAGTGGTGGCACTGATTGATGAAGAGATGTGCATTAACTGTGGGAAATGCTACATGACCTGCAATGACTCTGGCTACCAGGTATGAACAACGTTGTAATTAAACAAATGCCAGACTGAATTTTACCAATAGTGGCATTCCCCCCAAAAGGATCTTTCTATTATCAGTGTAAATTAGTGCTAGCAATTTACACTTGTACTGCAGATTACACTAGATTGTTTGACTCTGCCTATAAAATCTTGGTACAGTATATTGCCATCATATGACTTTTGCACCAAAGCCAGCAAAAGACATTCATGTCAGCATGTCTTGAAAACCCAGGTGTGTTTATGGGATTGTGAATACGCAAAAGCGTTTTTTCCCAGGCAAGGGAGTTGCATTTTACAGACTATAAATAGAATGTTTTTAATATAATCAACAAAAAATTACCGATGTAGCATATTTGACCCCTTTGTACCACAAGGCCCTGATTCTATTGCAAGCACTAAAAAACATAAGAAAAGTCATGTATATTAATGGTTCCCTATAATAAGGAACCAATGCATCTAAAATATATAGTACATGGGAAAATCAGCATGAATTCAATATTGCTGGCAATTGACACCCAACATGTAGCATAAAGGAAGTCTTGATGTGACCCTCCTAATCAGCATCTAAGCAAATAGTGTTTTTCTTACAATCTACAAACCACATGTAATTAAAATGCAAAAATATCTTTGGAGTTTTTGGTGCAGAAAATTAAACAATACATTACATGAGGTACCATGCTGCCTGGCATCTCTGACAATGTGCTGCAAGATTTTTTTCACCATCAGACCTTTGAGCCCAAACTTTGTTAACTTATTGGACATAAACAATTTGCCAGGTTTCCTTACGTTGATATACAGTACAGCTTATAATATGTTAGAAATGGGAGGGTGTTATGCTGCTGTTTGGGAATGACGTTTAGAAACCAGCATTCTGGTTTTCAGTGGAGGATAATTTATCTCACCTGCTGCAGTATTCTAAGGCTGTGTCCTGCAATTTTGTTTCAAATTTCCATTTGAAACACAGACTGAACAAACCTCACTAAACTAGCAAAAGTATCCTTGGACAAATAAATTGAACTACTTTATGATTAATTTGAAACAATAGCAAAAACCATTAAAAATTAGTACTACTACAGATCATGTATTTTTCTATGCATTTGTGGTGTTTACAAATAAATAGACATAATTAGACACGATAAGTGTCTGCCAGACTTTAATTGTATTTATTATGAAGTTGTTGCAAGAACAGATCTAAAACGTATGTTGAGAAGATGTATTTTTTTAAATACATTGATCTGGATTTTCTTGCATTGTAAATTAAATAATTAATCACCAAAAAACAGTAAATAAATGCAACAAACAGTAGAATCGTTTCTTTGAATTAAATTGTGATAACATTTGAGTCTCTGATCGTACACTATTAAACGGTCTGTGATATGTAGTTTGTTTTTATACAGTGAAACTCAATACATTGACATTATTTACAAATAATTATTAACTATATCTCAAGAATAGTAAATTATTGTATTAAACTTGTCCTCATAATTTATCATGAATTAATGAAAATGTGGACAAGTCCTATCAAAGCTATAATTATTTATTGTGAGGGTTATTTATTATTAATGTTTTTTCAAAGAGGAAAACATTAATCATTATATGAGGTCATTATTTAATATTTGCCTCTATAAGCAATTTAAAAAGGAATCCTTGGCAGTAATAAGAATAAAAGCAAATAAATGTAGTTATGAAATAATTGACCTATAACCCAAAAGGGAAAAAAAGTATGGTTACACATTCACAGAATCATTTCTGTCTTGAATTTGAATCTCTTCCTGTATTACATTTTCTTGGAATATAACTAGGTTTTGGTTGCACTCATAGAACCTCATAATACATTTTTATAAAATCAAAGAAGTAAAATCCAGACCAAAATAATAATATCTGAAATATTATTTAATATTTTAGATGTTTAAAAAATAATCCGCATTTATAATGCATAATGATTCCTTGGAAAATGTACCTGTGAAGTGTGATTTTATTATGGTTAGCACTCCAGTTATTTCCCCCTATTTGTAAAGAATTCCAGCTGCATGACATTCATTTCTGATTTGCTGCAGAAACACAATGATATACATTTTTTTCCTAATCCTAGCAGAAAGTCCTCCTATGGAGGGCAACCTAATAATTCTAATCTAATAGCCTTTGCTTCCTTTTGCAGGCTATTAAGTTTGACCCTGAAACCCACCTGCCTACAGTTACTGACAGCTGCACCGGTTGCACTCTGTGCCTTAGTGTATGCCCCATAATCGACTGCATCAGAATGGTTACCAGGACAACACCTCATGTGCCAAAGAGAGGCCTGCCTCAAGCTGTTGATCCGGTTTGCTAAAGAAGCCTGGGTTCGCCTATTGAAAAAGGACCTAACCTCTACTTCACAGCATTGATTCACTTCATAATTGCAGTGTGAAAAATTACCTTTATTATAAAAACGAATAATTAGTTGGAGAAATAATTACCTTATATTCCCAAGCCAATTATCCAGAAATAATTGTGCGGACACAAATAGTTGCATTATTTCTAAACAATAGCCTGCAATATTTTTTTCTGTCAGTGCTGTAGTAATGAAACTGAAGGGGAGTTTGAAAATAATAGATGTTTATGTACTGTAGATCTTATATCAAGGACTAATGCAACATTTCTAAACAGGACAGGATGACAGTTTTTATAGTTCTACCATAAGTTTACAGCTGGAGGTGAGCAGCCGAGTGAGATATTTCAAATTTTTTTTGTTTGCAAAATAATTAGACAAGGAATTATCAAAGATGAAGAGATGTTTCTTTGTTTTTCAGAAACTAAAAATTACAGAAACTCATTCAAATTAAACCCCAGGGGATATATAATGCTAAATTTAATTATGGGAGTATGTCATAGTATGTAATTATTTGAAATATTTTTATAGTAACTTTGCTTCAGGTCATATCTACAAATTAGAACTGGGCAAGTTTCGGTCAATACAAGTGACAATTTTGAACTCACTTATCAGTGTACCTGATTTTGTATTCGATTGTCCATTTCTTTTCCCTTTTTATGGCAATATTATAGCTTCTTCATTGTGAGTTTTTCATGTATGGATATTTTGAGGCATTAATATGAGGTATTGATAGCGATAACAGAAAATATCAACTCACCTTAATGAGCTGTTCAGCTAATCCAATCGTCACTTACTACTTCAGAGCAATGAGCTGATGTGCCGTACTGTATGTTACAATTATATCAGAAGTAATAAAAGTTTGAACTCTAACTTGTTTGCATTTTCATTTGCAAAATTTAAATAAATTAAAACAGTCAGAACAAGGGCAGTGATAAGCATTGTTGCCTCACAGTGTTGTGCCCCTGGGTTCAATTCTCCCTCTGTACTGTACATGTGAGTTTCCTCTCCCAGTCCACAGATATACTGGTAGATTAATTGGTTTTTGGAAAATTGGCCCTGGTGTGCGAGTGTATCTGTGTCTGTGTGTATCCTGTAATAGGCTAATGTCCTGCCCAGGGTGTATCCTGCCTTCTTCCTCTTTACTTGCTCGGATAGGCTCCTTTTTGGTGAAGAAGATAAGGCAGTCTTGGCAAATAAAGATAATCTGTGACTGTTTCCAGTGCATTAAAGATCAGTGCCAACTGTGTTTGTTTCTGACCTAGTAAAGGTCAGTTAATGGATGTAACCAATCCAATTAGTACCATTTTCGACACGAGGAGTAAGAGCCAAAACAACTAAAGTCTGAATTTAGGCATTTAGTCAACTCTATGATTTCATCCATTTGCAATATTTAGGTCATTCACTACTTTCTTTAACTCTGTAACTGTGCAGAATTGGCTTTATTTTATAGTACCTATACATTTCATGTGATTATTGTTTTTTTTTATCTAAATACTTACTCCAATAAAATAACCTGTAAGGAAAACCAGATGTTTGCTGTAAAGGGTCTTGGTGAACAAATAGGTGGTAATCATCCCTATTAACCAGAATTATCAATACTAATGCCCAGTTTGGTGGTAGTGGACACTTTGCTGTAAACGGTCCCATTCTCAAGAAGAAATCTTAAACTAAAGTCATGTCTACTTGGCATTAAAAATCCATGGCACTCTTCAAAGGTGTAGGGTTGTTAAGTCCTGTGCCCTGGCTAAATTCCGCTCTGGTATTTTACAATTTTTCCTACCTGAAATTCCGCCTTTATTCAGAAGTAAAAGCACCTGATCTTCTGTGTAGTGGAGCTACAGGCATATAACAGCTGCAGCATCATTGTGGTGGGACCAGTGTTGGACAAAGTACAGCACAGTAGGTCTCCCCCTATATGTAACACATGTTCAGATCCTATGAGATATAAAATATTTAAAAATGTTGAATGATGACACATTATTATGCATTCTGACATTAACAAAAAATATTTTAGAGAAAGCATTTGTTTGAAGGTATTTGAAACACAATACAGAATTAAAATATTTTTAATATAAAGAACTGGAATAGATACAGTATAATAAGTTTAATTAGAAACAAAACACAAAAAATGTATAAAAAGATACAGTTTATCTTGTACTGTATGTCCTCATTGTATTGGTGAAAAATTCAAGAAGCTTAAAAATACTTTGTATATTTTCCTTATTTTTATTCTTGGTATCCTGAGACTGGAACTGTACTGTACATAGCTAAAGAGACAATCTGGGATAGACATTTTGCGTGATCCCATCTTGTTGATCCAGTCCCCCCACACAATTCGTCATACTTTCCCATGTGTCTACATTATATGTGAATAAAACCCTAGAACTATATTCCTAAGTATCCTTTCAGACCTAAAACACAACCATGCCATCAAAAACTGTCTACATTTCATGGGAATAAAATTTGCTAGGTAGGGTTCAAATATTCCTCAAAGGTTTTTCACAATATTCCACTCCTTTGACTGGAAAATTTGCTTCTCTGAAACAATTTTAGTATGAAAAGACAACACAACACTGCCAAAACCAAAAGAGTGTGTCAGGAATGGTCAAATGAATTTTTGAAAGGTATTCTTTCATCGGAAATGTTGTGTTGAACAGAGTGCTAAATGATTGTACGTTAAGGCTTAAATGGCCTATAAGTCCAAAACAACTAATACATTTTGGCTTTATTTCTTAATAAGCCTTGTCGGGCAATTCAGACACCATTCCTTTTTGGGGCAAAGCACTGTCTACCCAAAGACAAAAAAGTGGTGCCAAAGAAAGGAAAATAACAAACAAAATAGAGCTGGCTAGGGAAGTGAGGGAAAGCTAACCTGCTAACTTGACACGATCTTCGGTGCCTTCAACACCCTAGCTAACCTCCACTGACTACCCAAAACCATATAAGCAAATGGCACTCACCCGTGCTGAACTAGTGTTACTAATATGAAATCAACTAAGTGTGTAATGTGTACAGAACATCCTAAACTAATCTTATACACAAAAGTTCACACAAAAACACAAGTAAACCAGGAATGCAAATAAGGGAAAAGAAGAGTAATCAACTGGAACAGGGTACAAAAGAACACAAAAGTTGAACATGTAACACGTTAGGACAAGGTAATGGCAAAACAAGGATAAACACAAACAAATGAAAGTACAAAGAAACTAACAGAAAACCAACAAAACAACAAAGCCGAAGCAATTACTAAAGCGAAGCGAAGCGAAGCGATAACCAAATCCAAATAGGACCGAAGTCAAACGAAAGGCCTCTTCCTTCTGAAAACCTCCATGTTATATCCTGAATAAGATGCACTCTGATTGGCTGATAAGCTAATTGATCATGATGTCATACAGAAAGTGTGGCGTAATGGTGGGCCAATGGGGAAGGGAGAACAATCAAGGGTCAGCAGTGTGGAACATAAAAAAAACACACACAGATCACACACTGGGACATAATAACAATATTCCACTCATTTGACTGGAAAATGTGTTTCTCTGAATCAAAATATTAGTCTGAAAAGACAATACAACACTGCCAAAACCAAAAGAGTGTGTCAGGAATGGTCAAATGAAATTTTGAAAGGTATTCTTTTATTGGAAATTTAGTGTTGAATAGAATGCTAAATGAATGTACGTTAAGGCTTAAGTGGCCTAAAAGTCCAAAACAACTAATACATTTTGGCTTCATTTGTTAATATGCTTGTGATTTCAAAGCCCATGGCAAGAGTTTGAAAGTTAAATCGGGTTCTTTCAAACTGTTGCTTGTCGGGCAATTCAGACGCCATTCCTTTTTGGGGCAAAGCACTGTACACACCCATATAGGTCAGAAATTATGTTTAGAAAACATTGAAAGAACTATATTTCTAAGAATCCTTTCAGCCCAAAAACACAGCCATGCCATCAAAACTGTCTACATTGTATGAAAATAAAACCCTAACCCTAGCTTCGGTTTTTGCTAGGTTAGTGTTGGGGTTCAAATATTCCTCAAAGGCTTTTCACAATATTCCACTCATTTGTCTGGAAAATTTGCTTCTCTGAATCATAATATTAGTCTAAAAAAGACAATACACTGCCTTGTCGTTGAATGGTTTTGAGGTGCTGAGAACCCTGCAGCACTCTTTTCCCCATCTTGTGGTTGTCCTGGACAGTGGTCTCCCACAAGTTGATGTCAATGTTGCCCTCTTCACTGTTGGTGTTGAGGACATCTTTGAAGCATCTTCTCAGCTCTCCTCTAAAGCATATGAAATGTCTCAGCTGGGAGAAAAAGACATCCAGGCCACATAGCCAGCTCAGTGAAGTTGATATCTGTTGTTCATTGCCTTGATGCTCATTGTGCTTGCATGAGAAGGTACTAATGTTATGTTTTTCAGTTGTATTCAAAATATCTTCCACATGGTGTGTTGGTCACATCTCAGTTTCATTTACGCTGAGTATGTTGGGGATCATGACTTGCACATTTGAGGTCATCATTGAAGTCAGCCATTTGTGAGAGATGCCTTCTAATGTATGGAAAAATGCCCAGCGTTCTCCAGACTCTCCATGAATCTGAACTGCCAGACCTGGGGACATCTCATTAACCACTTGTTGATGGAGGGTCTTAGTCTTCACGGTATTAAGTGACAATCCCATTTTCCTGTATGCCTCATTAAAGATATCGATTATTGCCTGAAGTTACACTTCTAAGTAAGCACAAACTACAGCATCATCAGGGTCCTGGAGCTCAAGGACAGACGCTAGGATGATCTGTGTTCTGGATCAGAGATGTCTGCAGTTTCATTCCTTAACTTGGTTAATTATTTGGCTACACTTGTTTGCAAATTATTATATAAAATTATGTTTTATCTAACTCCATTGTGAGCACGATAAAACAGATGTTCTGCTGATTTACAGTCATTTTTTAAATTAGTACAAGAATTTGATGTGGGATGTTTGTTTCACTGCATTTGACATAGTTTACAAAAGTAGACAAATATTGTGTTTTTGATTGTCCACCTATAGTCAAAAGTATGGATGAAATATAGTACATTCCATTTAAAAATTTCACTCAACCAATACTCAGTGCAAACAACAATAACTGTTTCCTCAGAATAGTAACAATTTTTGCCAGATCATTAACCAGTATTTAATGCCTTTAAATAATGCCTTTAAAATTTAAGACACAATACTTTTCCTACGGTTCTGAGATTTTCCTTACACACACTGTATATTGTATTTTAAAATACACCACATTTCAGCTCTTCTTTTTCCAGTTGTGAAACTACCTGTCTTCTATGCTAATATTTAAATAGATGGATAACATTTTCAAAGTTATCATTATATTTTTAAATGTGGTTGAGAAGTTAAACAGAACCTCTGTTACAATGAGTTTTCACATAAATCTTTCCTCACATTCTCAGTAGGCGTCTGCATATGAAAATGTATCACTCTCTGAAGTCCTTTACCCAGAAGATATATATGGGCAAGTCAGTTGTGTCATCATAATAATTTATGGCACATGAAGTTAATCCATTTTCTAACATAGTGTTAACATAAGCATAGCAAAGGCTGTACGTTCGCCCTGTGATCCTCCTACCTACAGTATCAAAATAAATCTTTCAGTGTGAACTTATGAGAATATTATGGCTAAAATGCACAAGACTAATGTGCTGTTAACTATTCTATATGCATAACTCAATGAAAAAAAACTGTCCAACATAACAAAATAACATGGCCCAGATTGCACTTTATGAATTGTTGTGAATTACAAAATAAGTTGAATAAACCTCGAAAAATATATAAAGGTCGTATTCCTGAAGCAGCATGATTTTATTTTTATTATTATTTTGCCAA